ACAACAACGACGACAAAGACAACATCAACAACACCAACAACACCAACAACGCCGACACCAACACCAACACCAACACCAACACCAGCAACCACGTCAACAACAGCAACAACAACAATAACAATAACAACACCAACACCAACACCAGCAACCACGTCAACAACAACAACAACAACAAAAACATCAACAACGACAAAAACGACAATAACAACAACGACACCGACACCAACACCAACACCAACAACGACAACAACAACAGCAACGAAAACAACAGCAACAGCAACGGCAACAACAACATCAGCAACACAAACAGCGACACAAACAACCACACAAACAACAACACAAACAACGACACAAACAACAACACAAACAACAACACAAACAACAACAAAACAACAACACAAACAACAACACAAACAACAACACAAACAACAACACAAACAACAACACAAACAACAACACAAACAACAACACAAACAACAACACAAAAAAACAACACAAACAAACAACAAAAAAACAAACAACAAACAACAACAGAAAAAAAAAATACACAACAACAACAACAAGAACACAACAACAACAAGCACAAACAAAAACCATTCAAATCAACAACAACAACAACAACAACAACAACAACAACACAAACAACAACACAAACAACAACACAAACAACAACACAAACAACAACACAAACAACAACACAAACAACAACACAAACAACAACAACAACAACAACAAAAACAACAACAACAACAACAACAACAACAAGAACAACAAGAACAACAACAACAACACGAATAACAACAAGAAGAACAACCAGAAGAACCAGAACAACAACAACAACAACAAGAACAACAGCAACAACAACGACAACAACAACAACAACATCGACAACAACAACAACAGCAACAACAACTACAACAACATCAACAGCAACAACAACTACAACAACATCAACAGCAACAGCAACATCCACAACATCCACAACAGCTACAACAGCTACAACATCCGCAACACCACCACCACCACCACCAACAACAACAACAACACCAACAGCAACACCAATACCAACACCACCAACAGCATCAACAACAACAACAACAACAACAACACCAACAGCAACACCAATACCAACACCACCAACAGCATCAACAACAACAACAACAGCAAGGACAGCAACAGCAACAACAACAGCCAACGACAACAGCCAACAACAACAGCCAACAACAGTCGCCAACAACAACAACAACAACAACAACAACAACAGCCAACAACCAACAACCAACAACCAACAAGCAACAACAACGGCCAAAAACCAACAACTGCAACAACAACAACAACAACAGCAACAACAACAACAGCAACAACAGCAATAGCAACAACAACAGCAACAACAACAGCAACAACAGCAGCAACAACACAAACCATGTATATTCGGTTTTTCTTGTTATGTACAGAGGCAGGTCATTCCTGAGGTGTCAAGTCGGCCCCTTAGCCTACCGCCAAAGTAGACATATTCCTCATCCCAAGGAGATGCAAAAGAAACATGCGTTTGTTAGTTTTTTTTTTTCAGTGTCCTCATTCTTGTTCATGTGTTGTGTCATATCTGCTTTCTCAAAATACAAAGTTTACCCCATGCCGATTGTGTTTTTATGAATAGTGTTTTTATGTCTGGTCAATCAATTTGTATGGGTACAAGGCCGATGATCTGCCGAAACATGGAAATATTTCAGGAACAATAAATGTTTGGTGTCTGTTACCTCAAAAACAAAAACATCTGATTTTCTTTGCTATCAACCACATGGTTAACCCCTTTTTGGATAAAAAGTAATTCTTGGCAGGCCAGAAAAAAACCTTGCATGTTGCCACAAATATATGGAGAAACGCAAACAAAGTGCGCGTGAAAAATGTGACCCAGGCCCACGGTGAGAGATCTGCATGTTGCTTCCGAAAAAGTAAACATGTTTTTTGTTATTAAACACATGGTTACCACTTTGCATAAAAGTAGTTGTTGTCAGCTCAGAAATATGTTGGCATGGTGTCAAAAAAAATATGCATTAAATTGATTATTTTAAAAACTGAATTTGAACAAAAAACATGTTACACAACCACACTTTTCAGCATCCATTTTATGTTTTACATCGGCATTTTATGATATTATGGTGGACCAATGGGATTAAATATAATGTTTTATCATGCAAATCCTTGACCAGTAAGCGGTGCCTCGGGGACATGGGTCGGAAGGGAGGGATTGGGCAAGTTCCCCAGATACCTATGATCTGATGCCCACTGGCTGAACCCCTCGGGCGCTCCCACCCCTGCCGCCCGACGTGAATGGAACCTGACTTTGAAGAGTTTTGGACATACCTAGTTGTTGTTGATGTTGTAGTAGTAATAGTAGTAGTAGTAGTAGCAGCAGTAGCAGTAGCAGTAGCAGTAGTAGTAGTAGTAGTAGCAGTAGCAGTAGTAGTAGTAATTGTTGTTGTTGTAGTAGTAGTAGTTGTAGTAGTAGTAGTAGTAGTTGTTGTAGTAGTAGTAGTTGTTGTTGTTGTTGTAGTTGTAGTAGTAGTAGTAGTTGTTGTTGTTGTTGTAACAGTAGTAGTAGTAGTAGTTGTTGTTGTTGTTGTAGTAGTTGTAGTAGTTGTTGTTGTTGTAGTTGTTGAAGTTGGTGTAGTTGTAGTATTAGTTGTAGTAGTAGTAGTAGTTGTTGTAGTAGTAGTAGTAGTAGTAGCAGTAGTAGTAGTAGTTGTTGTTGTAGTTGTTGAAGTAGTAGTAGTAGTAGTAGTTGTTGTAGTAGTAGTAGTAGTAGTAGTTGTAGTTGTTGTAGTTGTTGTAGTTGTTGTAGTTGTTGTTGTTGTAGTTGTTGAAGTTGGTGTAGTTGTAGTATTAGTTGTAGTAGTAGTTGTTGTTGTTGTAGTAGTAGTAGTAGCAGTAGTAGTAGTTGTTGTTGTTGTAGTTGTTGAAGTAGTAGTAGTAGTAGTAGAAGTTGTTGTTGTTGTTGTTGTTGATGGATGTAGTAAGTAGTAGTAGTAGTAGTAGTAGTAGTAGTAGTAGTAGTAGTAGTAGTAGTAGTAGTAGTAGTAGTAGTAGTAGTAGTAGTAGTAGTAGTACTAGTAGTAGTAGTACTAGTAGTAGTAGTAGTAGTAGTCGTAGTAGTCGTAGTAGTCGTAGTAGTCGTAGTAGTCGTAGTAGTCGTAGTAGTCGTAGTAGTAGTAGTCGTCGTAGTAGTAGTAGTAATAGTAGTAGTAGTAGTAATAGTAGTAGTAGTAGTTGTAGTAGTAGTAGTAGTAGTACTAGTAGTAGTAGTACTAGTAGTAGTAGTAGTAGTAGTAGTAGTAGTAGAGGAGTAGTAGTAGAGAAGGAGTAGTAGTAGAGAAGGAGTAGTAGTAGTAGTAGTAGTAGTAGTGGTTGTAGTTGTAGTTGTTGTTGTTGTTGTTGTTGGAGTAGTTGTTGTAGTTGTAGTAGTAGTTGTAGTGGTAGTAGTAGTAGTTGTTGTTGTTGTAGTTGTTGTTTTCGTTGTAGCAGTTGTTGTTGTTGTTGTAGTTGTAGTAGTAGTAGTAGTTGTTGTTGTTGTTGGTGTTGTTGTTAATGTTGTTGTTGTTGTAGTTGTCGTAGTAGTAGTTTTTGATGTAGTAGTAGTAGTTGTTGTTGTTGTAGTTGCTGTTGTAGTTCGTAGTTGTTGTTGTAGTAGTTGTTGTAGTTGTTATTGTAGTTGTAGTAGTAGTTGTTGTTGTAGTTGTAGTTGCTGTTGTCGTAGTAGTAGTAGTAGTAGTTGTTGTTGTAGTTGTTTTTGTAGTTGTTGTTGTTGTTGTAGTTGTTTTTGTAGTCGTTGTAGTTTTTGTAGTTGTCGTAGCAGTAGCAGTAGCAGTAGTAGCAGTAGTAGTAGTAGTTAGTTGTTGTTGTTGTTGCTGTTGCTGTTGTTGTTGTTGTTTTTTGTAGTAGTAGTAGTAGTAGTAGCAGTAGTAGCAGTAGCAGTAGCAGTAGCAGTAGCAGTAGCAGTAGCAGTAGCAGTAGCAGCAGCAGCAGCAGCAGTAGTAGTAGTAGTAGTTAGTTGTTGTTGTTGCTGTTGCTGTTGTTGTTGTTGTTTTTTGTAGTAGTAGTAGTAGTAGTAGCAGCAGTAGTAGTAGTAGTAGTAGTTGATGTTGTTGTTGTTGTAGTTAATGTTGCAGTTGTAGTAGTAGTTGTTGTTGTAGTAGTACTGGTTGTTGTAGTAGTTGTTGTAGTAGTTGTTGTAGTAGTTGTTGTAGTAGTTGTTGTTGTAGTAGCTGTTGTTTTTCTAGTTGTTGTAGTAGTAGTTGTACTAGTAGTTGTAGTTTGTGTTGTAGTAGTAGTAGTAGTAGTAGAAGTAGTAGTAGTAGTAGTAGTTGTTGTTGTTGTTGTAGGTGTTGTTGTAGTAGTAGTAGTAGTAGTACTAGTAGTAGTAGTACTAGTAGTAGTAGTCGTAGTAGTCGTAGTAGTCGTAGTAGTCGTAGTAGTCGTAGTAGTCGTAGTAGTAGTAGTCGTCGTAGTAGTAGTAGTAGTAATAGTAGTAGTAGTAGTAATAGTAGTAGTAGTAGTAGTTGTAGTAGTAGTAGTAGTAGTTGTAGTTGTTGTAGTTGTTGCTGTTGTAGTAGTTGTTGTTGTAGTAGTAGTTGTAGTAGTAGTAGTAGCAGTTGTTGTTGTTGTTGTAGTAGTAGTATTAGTAGTATTAGTAGTAGTAGTAGTTGTTGTTGTTGTAGTTGTTGTTGTTGTAGTTGTTGCTGTTGTAGTAGTTGTTGTTGTAGTAGTAGTAGTTGTAGTAGTAGTAGTAGCAGTTGTTGTTGTAGTAGTAGTAGTAGTAGTAGTTGTAGTAGTAGTAGTAGTAGTAGGAGGTGTTGTTGTTGTTGCTGTTGCTGTAGTTTTGTAGTAGTTGTAGTATTAGTTGTTGCTGCTGTTGTTCGGAGGGAAATTTCAATCCATGATCACGATTAGGCAGAAGTGGATGGAACCAACTTTGGAGGATGGACCATCCTTGGAACGCACAGGAATGATCTGGTGAATTCCATCGCAGACTTCATTGATCTTCACTTTGAGGCTGGCATGGACTTGAGCCAAATGGGGCGTGCTCGAAAACTTGCATGTTTAGGATATGATATATCAATATCAATATCTAAATCTGACTGTATTATATCTAACTGCTACATGGTTTTCTTGTGCAGTCAATTCCTTGGCAGAAATGGAAAGTGTAGTCGATTGTAGTCAACTTTGCTGACTTTTCTAGCTCTGCACTCCAACTTGGGGCATAGATTGAATCATATGGGTCATGGGTTGGGATTGTAACATCACTGAAACGAATCCAGACAACAAACATGTCCACTAGCCGATGCAGTGCTTTTGCCGGCAAAACAACCAGTTTTCAACCACATAAACGGATTGTTTCAGCCACTCGACCTTATTCCATTTTGCATCAGATGCCCCTTTTTTGGTTTCGTCCATCCATCCAGTATCATCCAGTCATCCCCCAACATCCATGGCAGCTTTCCCAACCAAGGTGAAACCAACTGGTGCTGATTTTCGTCGTAGCAATTCGCCCATGGCGGTCTTCAATTTCGGGGAAGAAGATGAAACCAACGGGTCTCGTGGCGATCAGCAACCAGAGGAAGAAGTTTTATGGAAGCGATGTGTTTTCATATAGTAAAAGAATGTAAAAGATAGTTTCCAGATGTTTCCAACGTGTTTTTTGTTACATTATAGTATATATATATATGGTCTGGTTCTTTCGATTCTATATATTATTGCTTTACATTTTAGGTTTATAGATTATTAATAGCAAAATGCATCATTCCAGATGCTCCATGGTATAGGGCTACACATGATGATAGACTGCGACTGACCTTCCATCCGAAGACCCACTTTCCGAGTTTGCCTGCCCCTTGAATCAAAAAAGCGATGGAATTAGTTTTGGGATCTCCATTCAATCCAACCAGTCAAACACGGCTGACTTTGTTTCAGAAAGAAATCAAGAATCCAATTCCAACACTTCCTCAAAATCAAAGGATATGAATTTCCCACATTTTCCCCACATTTTCCCAGCCCCCCCCCCCAAAAAAAAAACAACAAAATAAGCTAAGACCTCTGAGAATCGGGTCACCCCCAAGGTTTGGACCTCCGATTTGGGCTTGGCCTGAACGCACCTCGGGCAACGTGTCGCAAGCCCAAAGTGTTGTGCCACGGCGGAGATTTTCCTTTCGTTTTTGCTGCTTTTGTTACCCTCTGGTTATTTAACATAGCTATGGAAAATGGCCCATTTACAGATTATACTGGATTCTCCATAGCTATATTAAATACTCCGATGGTATTGGTGTTTGGGGGAAACTATCATCATTATTTAGTACAATAACATAGCTGTGTTTTTCTGTGGTGTTCCATTTCTGTGCGTTGTGCTTTCGACCAGAGTTTGTTACTAGTTATGAAGCAACTTATCTAGATGGCCCCACATCAGACAGGACATGTTTTTGGATGATCTCATCCTGAAAACGATGCCACAAACACGGCTGCAACACCAAAGTGCATTTGTCTGAAAATGGTGTACCCTAAAACAGCCAAGGTTTATCATAATGTTCCCTATTCTGTATATATATATTCATAACTATGCGTGTATATATATATATATATGAATATAATTATATTAATATAATTATAAAGAGAGAGAGAGAGAAATACAGATTATACACACAATATAACTGGTGTTTAGGGGTATACTAAACATTTTCAGACACACCCATATGACCTATATGTACCATTTTACCACATCACCGGCAAAAAAAGGAGATATCGTAAACTTCTGTGAGTTATTTTTGACAGGGATTGGGTACACGTAGATTTGTGTTTGATACCTGTCAATAGCACATTGTAGTTAGACACTGATATCCCATTGAGATCCATCATATAATTATGAATCATTTATGATATCACATTATAAATCATGAATCATTATCACTATCTAGTATTGTTGTCCATGATATTACTCAATTGATTGGTTGAGGGGAAATTTATAGGAAACCATAGGAAACCCCAACATGTCATAGGAAAAAATAATGATTTCCTGATGTCTCCGGTGTTCAGATTCTCCAACAAAACCCATCCAATGTCCGCCCTGCTGAGTCCGTCTCCCCAGCTGCCTTTGAGAGTCGAATGTCCTATGAGGGCAACCCTCAGCGAAACTACAACGTGGTGCCCTTGCCCGCCCTGACGCTTGGCCGCCACGGAACCAGGGCCGCCACGGAAGTTGCAAAATCCATGAAAAGTCCATGGAGGATTAGAATATACTATATACTTTATGGATGACAATCGTCAGATAATGATCATCCTTATAATGAATATCTTTATGAATTGATGTATTTTCATGATCAGGTTTTTTTTGTTTAGTATATATGTTCATTGTATCAGATATAACAACCATCAGTCCATTAGTTCATGATCTTGTTATCAGATGTATCCCTTGTAAAGAATGTGAAGGAATACTGACAATAGCAAAGTGAAGGCACGAAGGTATAGATCAACTTTTGGTACCGTCAGAAATGGCATGTTTCAAGGCTACCTATGACCAATTCTTTTGGGGTTTGGTGTTGTTATAGCGTTCAACCGTCCTTAAATCTCTATATATATATACATATCATTGTGGTAAACTGAATGCCACAGTCAACCTCCAACTGGGACATGGCTTTAATTTGACGCACTTTCTGGTAAACCTTGGGATCTTTGCTGAATTTGATGATGGTTTTCTGTTACAGACCCAATTGCCTTTCTCCAATTATTGTTTTTGTAGAGCCTATACGCATGTGTTTTCAGTTTGATTTCCATGTACTGCTGGTAATTCCTTCTTACTATATTATTGTTATATATTCTTGGCGTTCCCGACTTAACTACATTAACCCACAGATGTGCATAGTCAGGGACTATATACAAACAGGTGTATACACAGATGCAAATAAATACATAATAAAACATAATAATGCATATATATATATATAATACGTGTGTAGTTCCACATTACACATGACCGCTACCAGCCAGTTGCATGGTTTATTTGAAACGACTTTCAGTTCCTGGCCAGTGATCATTTGCCGCTGAAATGCCCCAGTCATGGCCACGGCACCAGCCATGTTTGACTACCAGAGGTTACCTCAAATTCCAGTGGTTTTTCTCAGGTCTCATTATTTCATTGCTGCTGATGGATATTATTGATGTCGCACAATCATGGTATGAAATCGTATGATATGACATGAGATCCCCATTATCATTGATATTGATAGTAATTCTGCATTTTTTCGATTCAGCCGCAGTGAGAAACTCCTCGCGCGCTCTTGCAATTGATTTTTACATTTAATTCCCCTATGATCGATGATTTTGATGATCATATTATATGTATATACATATATATATAATCGCATCTATATATACTGGTTGGTGGTTTGGAACATTTTTTATTCTTCCATAATGTATGGGATCATCCTTCCCATTGACTCATATTTTTCAAGATGGTTAAGACCACCAACCAGTATGTATTAATCTCATGCTCCGATGATTTTCCCCGTTTACCATCCTGATAGGGCGAACAGTTCGATGCGGAAAACCCACCATGAGTCGTAGATAATTCTCCTTGGAAACCCATGGTTTTTCCACATTTCTCTATGTATGTTTTCCCCGGGGTAATTGATTGCTATAATATATATATATATTAACATTAATATTATCACGTTCCTATGTTTTTGTTCCCACTTACCCTCTGATAAATTAACATAGACCCTGAACGTAAGAAATTTTAAGCTGTAACTGATATTCCAACCCCTATCTGGGTCTATGTTAATTCACTGGAGGGTAATTGCTATTAATAATGCTAAATCCGCCCAAAAGGTCCCATCGCTCAGGATGGATCTCTTCATGATCCCCGACTACGAAGTGCACCGCAAGATGTTCAGCTCGCGACTGCTGACGCAGTTCGAGGCGGCTTTCCATAGCCATGAGGTAACCCCAATCGCTGGATGGTTTATAGTGGAAAATCCTCCAAAGATGGATGATTTGGGGGTATTTCAGGAAACCTCTATATGTGGATTTATATAACATATTCTAACTGCAGCCAAAAGTATCACTTTTGGATCAATTCTAACTGATTGTCACAGAGATTTCTGGATTCTAACTGCCAATCATTCAGAATACAAAAGCTGAGACCAAGAACCATGGTCATTTCGCCAAGAAAAGCATGGAAATTTGAGATTTAGCCAACAAACATGGAGATGTGTATAAGTTAAGCAAGACAACTTGGAGGTTTTGCCCCTAACAAGAATGGAGAGTAAACCAACGGACAAAGATCAACAAATAGAGTTAACAAGCCTTCCTTAGGAACCATCAAGTGCTACGTGCATTATGTTGTTGAATTCTGATGGTGACCGGCCATATGTTTCAGCCAATTCATCCCATTGAACCACCGGGGTTCCTGCAGAACAGAGGCGATGAGGGAGATCCTTCTGGCCGGTGACACTAATCGCTTGGTCGCCGAACTGACCTTTGTCCCCTGGCGAAGTTTGTCTACTGGTTATAACATGTTATAACTAACATAATGTGGGACACAGGATATTTAACATATTGGTTTATGGCATTGGATTTCCCACATAATGTTTAAAATAAACCATTATGTTATAATGCAATAATCCAATGGCATGGGATGGACTATGATTGGGATTACCAGATAAGACCCTCTTATTTCAGCCAAATTTGAGTGGAAACTCGTCTTCCAACCCCCTATTTGGCCAGGTGTATGTTACTTCCGGGGAGGGTACATATGGAATCTATAGTTCAATGGGCAGAATTTGTGGTGGAGATGTATCCAACTAGGACTAATGGAGATATGGATAGGTTTGTAGACTTATGGGGACCTCCCCACTATTGTGAGCATGGCGACCCGAAGATTGGATACCAATGGTCCACAAATGGCCGGTCTTTGCTAAATCCTGTTCTTGAATGATTTTGAGATACCCTAAATTCCCCAAATAAACGGGAGCATTGGGTACATATAGATACAAGTGAGGAATGATGTACTAAAAAACATGTGACTTTTAGAGGGTAGAGGATGAATTATATTTGGAGATGAACCTTATTACAGATCTATGAGAGATATATATATATGGTCTGAATTTGGGAAACTCCGATCTTGCTCACTGGTGCAGATCCCCAGTTTCTTAGCATTTGGTTTAAATTTTGTGTGTCATTTTTAGTCACCACAGCTCTTCATACTCTTCTGATTGGTGGTTTGGAACATTTGTTATTTTCCACAATATATGGGATAATCATCCCAACTTCATATTTTTCAGAGGGGTAGGTCAACCACCAACCGGATATAATCACATCTATATTCATTGGATTGGTTTAAGGGATAATTTACAGGAAACCCAATATTTTATTGTAAAAACCATGGTTTCCTGTAGATTTTCAACAAAAAATCCCTGGGTTGAAACAACGGCGGAGCCAGGTGCGAATCAATGACTTGGCAGCTCCCCCAGAACGGATGGGTGTCCTGCTATTTATGGAGCCTTTTGTAACTCGGCGCCAGTGGCAAACTTGGACAAACAGTGGTTTCACAACAGCTGAAAAACGGCGGTTTTTGTAGTGGAAGACCAGTTTATTCGTTTGCCATAGATGGGGATATGATAATTAGATATAAAATTAATTAATTTTTTACCTACATACCTACATACCTACCTACCTACATACCTACCTGCATACCTACCTACCTACATACATACATACCTACATACCTACATACATACCTACATACCTACCTACATACCTATATACAGACCTACATACCTACCTACATACCTACAAACATACCTATATACAGACCTACATTCATACCTACATACATACCTACATACATACCGACATACATACCTACATACATACCTACATACCTACCTACATACATACCTACATACATACCTACAATTACCTACATACATACCTACATATACCTACATACCTACATCCCTACATACCTACATATACCTACATACCTACATCCCTACATACCTACATGCCTGCATACCTACATATACCCACATACCTACATTCCTACATATACCTACATATACCTACATACCTACATGCATACCTACATACCTACATACCTACATACCTACATACATACCTACATACCTACATACGTACGTACGTACGTACAGACATACAGACATACAGACATACAGACATACAGACATACAGACATACAGACATACAGACATACAGACATACAGACATACACGCATACACGCATACTCACATACACACATACACACATACACACATACACACATACACACACATACATACATACATACATACACACACATACACACATACACACATACACACACATATACATACACACATACATACACACATACATACACACATACATACACACATACATACACACATACATACACACATACATACACACATATATACACACATGCATACACACATACACACATACACACATACATAAATAAATAAATACATACACACAGACAGACATACATACATACATACAAACAGACAGACAGACAGACAGACTGACAGACAGACAGACATACTGACTGACTGACTGACTGACTGACTGACCAGCTACACTGCCAGGTATCTAAGACAGGTGCTTTCAATTGTTGTTCATTGATGTTCATCGTCCATTCCTTTGATTTCTGCGGACTGAAACCAGCAACGAGGAGGTTCCGCCGAAAAAAAAATATGGGTACCCGGACCGTAACTTAAGTTGTTCCATTATATAAATTGTGGAGTGTGAATTGATTAATCATGTTAGTGTGAAAACAAGTCTCCATTATATCTTAACAAAACGAACACCAGGCTAAGCTATGCCAGTTATTTCTGGTGTGTTTTTATTATTTCTGGCATAGCCTGGCATGTCGATGGACTGACTGAGGTCAGAGATTTCGAGATCTGTATTATATATCATCATCAGTTCATGTTAATAGTGTTGAGATCAGAATTGTCAATCAAAATTCTTAATCATCAATAGAATTTTTAGAGAAAGAACACATTAACAATCATCAACAATAACAATCTATTGAAATTTTCTATTGATGGTTAACCACAATGGTTAAACATCAATAACAGTCATCAACGGATCATTTCTATTGATCAACGGACTGTTTGTTTTCAATCGAGAACTGCACGGCACCGAACCGTTGGAGACTTTGGAAGGGGGGTCGTCATCCCGGTTGGTGAATCTGTTTAGTCATATTAGTGTTTATATTTTGTTTAGGTATAATTTAATATCACCGTATATGAAGTTATATATATGATATATATATATATAATATTCATATTATGTATATATGTACATATCATTCGGTAGAACGAAGGCGAATTGTTGTTTGAGGTGGGAAACATCTTGGGAAGCTCCGAGCGGTTTCTCCTGTCCAGATCAAAAAGTCACAGGTGGCTCTGCTGATCATCGCCAATGGTATCATGATTGGCTTTCAGACACATCCAAACTTTGAAGATTGGGATGGCTTCTTGGACAAGTCTCGCGAACTTGGCCCATCAGATTCGGAATTTCTATGAATTTCTCACGCCATGTCACCAGATGATCGTCAGGCTACATCCATGATCATCTATGTATTTGAAATCAATTCCAAAGTTTAGGTCTTTGGATTGGTTTCTGGCAAAATGTACAGGAAACCCCTATGATTGGGGAAAAAATGGGGGTAAAAACCATGCATTCCTGTAGACTTCCCCCTTATCCAATCCATTGACTGAGAATATCAGCCCCCATGTAAGGTTCGATAGCTTAAACCAGGTTTCTGTTGAGGCATGGGATGACTGGGATTTAGATCTGGGAATATACCATGATACCTATTGGCTGGGGTAAGAATCAACTTACAGTATAACAGAGGGCGGGGCTGTAGGGGCTCTGCGTTTCTGTTGAAGGAAGGGCACTCAAAACTTCTGGCTCGGGGAACCAAACTGACCATGTTCGAGATGAAAATCTTGAGGTTGCATAGCGGCGTTGGTCGGTGTTGGTTGTTCAGCTATTTCCCTTTTGCTTGGTGAGTCGCCGCCATTTATAGTTGGCCTTTACATCTTTAAACTGCCAAGCTCTGCTAGCTGGCAGCCGCTCAGAATGCTACTTGGCGGACCCGAACAACTTGGGAAGTGAATGGTATGGAGTGGATCTGCGTAGCCAAGTTTTTGTCACCAACTTTACATGTTCAACATGAAGTCAGTGACAAGCTACATATCTCAACAAAACGACACCACATCTCCACTAATTCACATAGAAAAAAATAAACAAGACACCAAATCTCCACTAACATAGACCCTGCCATGCTCTTTTAGGGGGCTACACGGCTGAACGGCCCAAGGATGGCCCTGGTTGGAGGTGATGTTTGTCATTGCTTTGGTCCTCGAGAACGTGCTTCGCATTCGCCTCCTAGGACAGGGGCAACGTTCGAATGGTGAATGGTGAATGATGATGGCAATCATGGCCAATAATGGTTCATAAATAATTGCCACCCAATAAATAACAATGGTTCACAAATGATTGCCATAAATAATGGTTCCATACATGTTATTAATGACAATGGCCAATAAGATTGGCGATTGTGGTTATCCATTTGATTCCAATAGTTGACATTAGATTTTTTTGCGTATCAATATGCTGAATAGGTATCCATGATAATAGTCAATCATGGTAAGGGTGATAATATCCGATCATTCATATGGTTAATAGATGTTAATAGTTAGTAAGTAATTTCCATGGACATCACAGGGTTTGTTTCAATAAGTCAACAACTTGTAACGTCGTCTTGTGTGGTTTATTGTTTGATTGATTGACCGCAGTGTTTCTGGGAGCCCACTGGCTACATGGCCGTTGACCTTAACGTGAGAGGGGATTACCAATGATCCACCATCAAATTCGGGGATACCCTACAGTATTTGCGACAAACCCTTAGATTGCCCCAATCCGATTCTCAGGGGTAACATTTGTTATGCATCCGGAAACATCCGAAATGAGATCGAAAGAAGGACAAAGAAAAAACATCAAAAAGGGGTAACAAACATCAACTTTGAAGTGTTTTGATCCAGATCATCGTTGTTGCATTGGGAGTCACATGGAGTCACTGTACCTTCCGCAAATCCAACAATGCCCGCAGGTTTACGCATGTTCTTCTGTGGCAACGACCGAATCTTCAACTGGTTCCTTGGTGCGGGAGATGCAGGGTTTTTTTTGGTTCGTTGAGGCGATGGAGAGATGGAGGTGGTGTTCATTTGGCCAATTTCCATGAGGAAAACGAGATCCATGGCCTGGTTGGTTATTGGGATAATCATATGGGGTTATATGGGGTTATACTATGTGGTTGCTGGTTTGGAACATGGCTTTATGACTTTCCATTTCATATATGGGATGTCATCCTTCCCATTGATGAACTCCATCATTTTTCAAGATGGTTAAAGCCACCAACCAGCATTGAATGAGGACCATATCCCCTATTTCAGATGATTTTCAGTCAAGCACGTGTTGTTTCTTTCTATCAAATCGCCAGGAAGCCTCGCACGTTGCCCACGCAAGTGTGACTGAGGTAGTGGACCATGCTGAAATATGAAGGCATGGTACCCAAAGAATAAGAAAAAAGACAGCAAAGTGATTAACAAACAGTTGTCCACTCTTGTCAGGAACCATTCGTATTTGTTTGTTCTGCTGTGCGACTGGTTACTGTGATAATTCGCCGATGGAGTGCCAACGATGTTCTTTGAGAGGTCGGATTACCTAAAGGTTATTTTGGGTTTCTGTTTCACTTTGGATCCTGGACATCATCCTAGGTCCTGCTGCACACAGATCTTGAACCTAAAAGCCTCATCTTTGGCTTGCAGATTTTCCCAATCTCTTCAAATGTCCAGACATTTGATGCTTGAAATTTTATCACAAAGTGAAAGACCTCCATTCTTTTTGAAAGACCTCCGTGTAAACTAAGGTTTGACTTCTTTTTATCCCTCACCGGATTAGCTGACCTGCTCATTTCTCACCTCAGTGAGGCAAGGATCACGGGTCCGCTTTTATTTGAACATATCAGACCTGTGCAGTTTTGGACAGTAACAGAACTACGGTTTATGTCAGATATACTATAATCTATAGCCAATGAGGTTTACAAACCAACAAACATAATTGGGGGGCCACCTTGTATCTCCTATTGAGGGCATGATTTGCATTGTTTCTTTTGAGGAAATGCACCCCTTCGGCCCGAATAGAAGGAGTCTTGGTCAATTTACCTTGAAAAAAAATGAAAAGAGACAAGTCCAGGACCAGGAAGCACTAAGCTGAGAAGCCCACAAAGAAAAGTCACGGCAGGGGCATTTTGAACGGAACAACTGGAGCGGCTTGTTGGTGATTTGAGTCGTCAGCTGCAGAATTGTTGACCCTCTGGTAAACACAGATAGCTATGGAAAATCACCATTTGTTTATAGGTAAATCAAGTATTTCTATGGGCAATTTTCAATAGTTATGTTAAATTACCAGAGGGTACCAGCGTTGGTCAAAATTAGATCCACCAAAACACTGGAAGTGTCACGCCACGAGAACCTTGGTGTTCCAATTTTAAGTGGATGTAGAACCTCCCAAGTGGGATCTATTACAATTGGATATAGAACCGTAGTTCCATATAATTATAAGTTATATATATATATCATATATCCCAACTTATGGAGGTTGGTATACCATGGTTCTACCGTTTTTTCTCGCCAGGAATCCGACATGTTCGGCGTGTCCTTGCTACGCTTCTGCCGCCTGATTCGCCTGGTTCGGGTGGTGAAAGTCTTCCGACTGAGGCTCCGGGGCTCTGGGGGAGAGTTGTTGGTAGGGTAGCAATGGGTATATCACTGGGATATGCTGTATCTATGGTCAATCTATGGTTAATCTATGGTTAATCTATGGTTTATCTATGGTTTATCTATGGTTTATCTATGGTTAATCTATGGTTTATCTATGGTTTATCTATGGTTTATCTATGGTTTATCTATCTATTAATTCTATGGTACCATGAATTTCTGGTTGGTTATTGGGATAATTATATGGTGTTTTTTTCTGGGGTTATACTACTGTAAGTGGTTAAGTGGTTGCTGGTTTGGAACATGGCTGGATTATGACTTTCCCATCATATTGGGAATTTCATCATCCCAAGTGACGAACTCATATTTTTCAGAGGGATTGAAACCACCAACCAGTATATATATATATACACCTGCTATGGAACAACTTTTTTGGTAAGTGTTTGATTTATCAGTTTTTTTTGGGGGGGTAACGAGTAACGACCGCAATGAATAGTTGGGATTGATTGATCTGGGGTTGACATTCTCGATATGATTGTCTCAAAGTGGGTGGGAAATACAGATACCCGAAAGCATCCGAAAATGGCTGGCCTGGTGACACATGTCGATCCCTTTGGGGCTGCTAAGCAGTTTGGAGTTGTCTTCCACGGGGGTTCCAGATTTTGAGACATCACACGGGTCGATGCCAAGTAACACCAAAATTCGGTGTAGGAACATTCCATCGTTGACCCTGCTCTTCATTTTAGTAACCATACCAAAAACCCTGGTACTACGTGGGTCATCCCGCAGTTTTGCCAAATATGTGGTAACCATACATCTCAGTAGGAAGAAGATTGGAAAACCAAAATGATATTCAAAGAACCTACTAGTAGGATCTAGTAGGTACTTGGATATCTTGGATAACCAAAATTGGTATAAAGAACCGGAATTGGATAATCAAAATCCTCCAAGTTGTTCTTTCTCAGCATTCATCAGCATTTATCAGCAGTTATCATCGGTTGTCATCATGTATCATCATCATTCATGATGATAATGGTTCATGAGTTGTCCTCATTGTTCATCATTTATCCTCATTTCATTTACTATCTCATTGAACTGACTGGTAATATGGGGTGTATCCAGGTACAGTTATTCCCTGGAGATATGTATGCTTCATTACACTGGTGAATAATTAACCCGCATGTATCCAGGGTAGCCATGTGAGTTATCCACCACAGTTTCAGCCCTGGTCTTCAGGTGCATGAAGGAACTGCGTTTGATGGTGAAAGGAAACTCGGTTGAGGGTTTCCGAGAAGAAGTGGGACCCCGAACTCGTTGATGACTGATATTACTGGTTTTGTTGGGAACATCTCAACCGGAAACCCATGGTTTTTCCTATGACATATGGGGAACCAATGGTTTTGGGTGCCCAATTTTTACACCCCAGGGAGATTGGATGAATTTGAAAGAGCTGTTTAGAACCTGGGAAACAAAAACCATTTATGGCTGGTGTAAGAGGCATTGACCCATGGCAGCTATGTGAGAAAATCTCAATGCCAGTGCCTAGAAAACCTCTGTTGATTCATGGTTGTATGGGCTTATTTTACTAGGCTTCATGGTGATATGTTCTTCTGTATACAGTAGTATATATATATATATTATGTATACTGTATATGTACATGTATCATATATATATATACATAATATAACAATATGTGTATATATATATTATACATATTACAACTATATATAATCAGATAATTACACAACATATGCTGACGGAATCCCCAAACATATCATCTTTACCACGGCGAAAACGACAAGCCGAGGATTGGTGGCTGGCTTTCGCACCCTCTGTCTGTCCTTCGTTCTGCTCATTGCTGTGCTCTACGTCATCTCCGGCTTCGCCACCATGACCATTGGCCACTTGAAAAAGGGATGTAACCAACAGAAACAGGACTTTGTGGGATTTAATAGGGGGATAAATTGCATATTATATACACACTATAATGGTATGGTATGTTTCTCAAAATGGAAGATTTTCCGTAAAATTGTTATTCGCGGGAATGAGGTTTGTCAAGCATCAATTCTTGGGGTAGTTACGGGTAGTTTCACACCAACCCATACTGTTCAACCATGTGTGACTACCAGGCAGATGAGTTAACAAAAAGAAAAAACCACAAACACTGCAAACATGGTGATGAATTTGCATATGCATACGCAAGCAAAGCAACAACACATAGGATAGTTTACTAGTCACCAAGATGTATGGAATGTTTGATTAGAATTGTCAAAATGGGGATGGGCCAAAACATATTATTATCATATTTGGAGGAATCCGCTTCCAAAAAACAGCTATTTCAAGGTACCGAGGTTCCCAGGGTTTTGTCTCGTAGTCAAATGATTTTAACTCTCATCATGTTGGTATGCAACTGATTTGCCAAACTTTATGGCCGGATACACCTTGAAAGTGCTCTTTGAAGATCCAAGAAGTATATTACAATGACCAAGATACACCTTGATAGTCAAAGACGGCAATGGAACATCACCCATTGATATACAATATATATATATACATATTGTGTATATTGTGTATATATATATATGCAATAGTGTTTACAACATATTTGTATGTGCCATGGGGATTTCCAAGCCCTTTCTTTGGCACAGAAATTTATACATGTCCAATGGCGCCAGCTGGATCAGGGCCTATTCAGGGATCAACAGCCAGCCCAAATCCGGTGGACTTGTGGCTTTGGAGATGTCATCTACACATAGAACTACACCCTCTGGTAATAAAAACACACTTTTTGCAATGGAAAATGACATGGACAATGGATGAAAATGGTCCATTTAGTTTGATGATCATCTATGACAATGGAAAATATGGATGTTAAATGATGTTAAACTCTTAAATTGCCAGAAAGTAGTTTGGATTTGACAGTTCATCCTCATCCGTCAAATTCTGACCGATACGTGGGTATGTCTGAAAATAAAATCTTTATATCAGCATGATGTGTGTTCTCTTAAAATTGCTATTCACTTTGGCGGTAAATCCTCCGTTTTTGGACAGGCCCATCTCATCTTCTTGGTTCATGATGATTCTATATCCCATCATATCCCCATCACACCCCGCTGATGTTTCCGTACATTGAGTTTTGGTCACATATCCAATAATATCCCAACAATATCCCCACACACACACGTATCTATATATATATCATATATATCCGTATGCTATCCCAATGGCACCATTTCGGAGTAGTTTGGAGTTGAACAAGTGTTACCTGCACTTCGACATCCACAGCGCCACAACACCACGACTCGCAGGTAGTGACCAACGGACCTCCGATCTGGGACTGTTGATCCACTTCGAGACCATTCCACAGCAGCTTGATTTGTTGTAGAGTTTGTTTTTTATTGGAAAATCAAAGTACCCTCTGGTAATTTAACATAGCTATTGAAAATTGCCATTTATAGTGGATTTTCCCATAAAAAATGGAGAGGCCAGCGCTCTCAGCGCCCACAAATCTCGTAAAAAATGCTATGTTTTGAGCATTTTCTGACATGTGTGTCCAAGTCTGTAAGCAATATGTACTGTTGCCTTTTCCAGCAGTTTTAGGACATGTTCTCATTGCTGCAGGTTGTCTATCAACGGTTCTATGTCATTTAGCCAGTGAATATCAGAAAGAAAATTCAATTTTGCCCTGTTGCGCCATGCTCAAATGATAGGGGTGTGTTTGCTTCTATGTTGCAGGTTTTTATAGCAAACATGAACAAGAGGAAACAGCACTTTTGACTGACAGAAGATTTCATTTTGTCCCCAAGCAGCATTGCATCTTCCTGACAGAGCTCCCTACAGAAAGAGATATGGAATGTTTTGCAAGGGTAAGCATATTGTTCCTTTGAAAAATATTGTGTTATTAAACCCTAGTACAGCATCAACTCAGATTCTAAGGGCCACAGCATGCTTCTCATAAGTCATCGTTGAAAATTTGAAAGAATGTGGCATTTCTTGAGGAAGTTGTGGCATGCCTCTATGCAACATTCTTCTATAGAGGGAACAACATTCCTTTGAGAAAGTGTAAAGCAAGACCCTGAGATGTGCATAGCATTCCTTTAGAACAAGTGCGTTCTGTCTTCCATATATTTTAATGAACATATGTAATTCCTTCCATAGAGGTAGTAGTCCTTTTAGAGAAGGGTAGCATTTCCTCAAGATAAAATATGCATATACATTAGTGTTTTTCAGAAAAGCGGCATTCCTATCAGACAATACTTGATGGTTTCATGAAATCTTGATTTTAAACAACGGTATTATGCCATATTACTTTGAAACATATTATTCATTTGGAAAATATAATATGATTTTCAAATAACATAATTCACTGTATGATATTATTAATTATATATATATATACACAGTTACCCACAATCTTCCTTTCAAAAGTATGTAGCATCTCTTTGAGAAGTAGCCTTCAAGACACACAGCAGTTCTAGTGACAGAGTATGGCTGAGTATGGTGTAATTTACAGTAAGTTGTTGTACAAAAGGGAACCCTTTCATATATACAACAATCCCTTTGAAAGAGGGTGATGTGTCTGTAATAAAGCGCAATGCATGGAATTGCCATTTGAAGAAGTATATATAGTGTTCCTTGCAGGAAATATAGCATTATTTTGAAAGGGTATTCTTCAATAAGCAGTTGCTCTTTCAGAGACCACAGTGCAGCATGCCTTTATGCAAGTTTCCTTGAAAAGGATGCAATATATTATATGTGTTCATTCCTTTGGAAAGAGGGTGGTATTCCTTGCTCAGAAGAAAATTACACAAACAGAGCCACCACCTCCAGAAAATCGGAAATTAGGCCTTGCTGTTCAGGAAACATGGAGAAACCATTTTCGAGGTAAAACCACCCCTATAGACAGGCGGTACAATAAGCAAAACCACCAAAAAAACACAAAAACCGAAAAAAACAAAAAAAACAAAAAAAAACAAAGATCCAGCAACTATGAGCCCTCCAACCTTTCTCTGGAATCTTTGTTTTTTTTTTTTGTTTTTTTCGGTTTTCAGTTATGGAGTTTAATTTTGTGTAGGGAATTTTGTTCTTGGGGTTTGCCTGTGGGAGATGCAATGTTGAAGTGACAAGTGCAGCCAGATTTTTTTTCTGGATGGGTAGATTCATGGAGAAAAGTGGCAAAAGGAGACTGCCCAAAACGTGGGCGCTCACAACGCTGCTTTCAGAAAAAATGGTGATTTTCCATTGCTATGTTAGTTTACCAGAGCGTAAATCCTAAAAAACAGTAAAGCTACAGTTGACCCAAGTTGACCCTTCAAAAAAAAAGTAAATCCTATAGAAAATCACCAATCCTAAAACCATCGACAGTTGCCCTTGGGAGACCTGTGATTTTTCATGGCCGACACGGCGACCGAGGGCGATGTTCACGGCCTTCCTCTGTTTCTCCGGAGAGTGCATTGATCGTTCAGGCGGACGACGAAGATTGGAAGAAATGTTTAGGGGATTCTCCATGGATGCGGTGAAGTATGTTGGATAACTTCACTTTAAGTATTGTTAGTGTGGTGGATGAACTTCATAAAAGTATTAAGTTAGTATTGGGATATAACTATGTCCCATATTTTCGCATTGTTTAGTATTTGTTTAGTATGTGCTGATGGGTTTGGATATGTTTTGATAATCACATATTCTTTGCCATGAACACTTGGGGAGTGAGCCATGAAGAATTCTGATTGTTCGAACATGATTGACATGGCAATGATCGATAAAACACCTAGGAATGAGGCATTTTTCGTTGCCAAGTTGGATTACCAGAAGTCAACCAAGAAGGTGGATAAATGGGAATATCACATCTATGACTGATTAATACGAGTGTTTCCAAAGGATTTGGTAGAGCATCACCAAATGCCCGCAACAAAAACAGCGGCCGAAGATCCTGCATTAGGCAATCCATCAACAAACGGGATGCTGGATGAACCGGATATCTAGAGGACCACAGATCATCAATCATCCAAGACATCAACCGCTCGGGTAGGGCGGCCTATCCATACCTTGATCGCCAATGAGTTTGGTATTCCTTTCGTCATGTGCTACGTGGTGTGCCTCGCATTTGCGTCAAGCTGCTGGTGAAAGGGAGCTGTTTTTATGGGATTTTATGGGTAGGTCATAATTCTGAACCGTTTAAAACAAAAAAAGGAATAGATACAAAACTGAGTAATTATTTCAATTTACTGTATATAAAATTATAAAATTTTCTTGATTCTATCTCACCAACTGACCTTTTTCTGTAAATGAAGTACCCTCTGGTAAACTAACATAGCTGTGGAATATCACCATTTTTTAATAGGTAAATCAACTACAAATGGTCATTTTCCGATAGCTATGTCAGTTTATCAGTGGATAGTCACTATAATGATAATTTAAGAGGAAAAACAACAGTGACAATAATGTGTATAATAATGATAGGTCTGCCATAGGTTAAATTATTGATTATTGATGGATATGAATGGATTAGCTCTGGTCACCAGAGTTTGGTTCAGTGATTTTGTTCACGAAGTTCCACACTTGTCGAAAGAGCTCCGTGGTTGCTGAAGCCCCAAAAAAAGACACAGATATAGATTGTTGATGATTGTTGATGATGTTTGGCAGTTTACCACCATGTTGGATTCGGATTTGAGGTTTTTGTATATATCTTTTTGGGGGTTGCTGTACTCATGGTGCATCCAGTTCTGGCTGTTGGTGATCCTCAACAACTCGAATGGGGCACTGCGAATGGCGAAGGCGATTTTGTTGCCGGGTCTGCAAAGCCTAGGAGCTATATGTTGGTATCGATGGGTATCTTGGCATGGATCAAGGGCTCCAAACTCATGCCAGGCTTTTCGTTCTTTCTGTGTATTGTTTTGTTTTAATCCTGTTGAAAGGTACATAAGAGCCTTGTTACTGACCAATGACTCCAGTGGGGCGATGCCAACCAAAAAGATCAGCCCAGCCATACCGAAAATGTCATGTTGGGGTAATCCCAGATTTAGACACAGCCAAACAAAATTAGATTCTGAGTTTAGCCAAGGACGTAGGCAATTTCATGCGTTTGCCATTTTCACTCCGACTATGCTGAGAATATGAGCCACGCAGCCATGTATCATTGTTACATATTTCTTACATATTATTGCATGGTTAAATATTGTTGTATATTGTTGCACACTGTCACCTATTGTTACATGACATGATATTACTTGTTACTTATTGTTGCTGCTGTTGCTGTTACTGATGCTATTGCTGTTGATGTTGCTGCTGCTGCTGTTGTTGCTGTTGTTGTTGCTACTTTTCTTTTTGTTGCTGTTGTTGCTGCTGGTGTTGTTGTTGCCGCTGGTTTCAATAAGTTTCACATAATGAACCTATCATTGTCGTTGTGTAGACAGATAGCCGACGAAAGTTTCAAGATCTTCTTCGCCGCCATCGCTTTGTGCTGCATCGGTCGCAGGTATTTTCAACGTGATCTTGGCTGCAGCTTTGGCTGTAACGGTGTTTTTTTGTGCTGGGATACCCCAAAGTGAATGGTTTATGATGGAAAATCCTTTTCACATGTTTGATTCGGTAATATCTCTATTTTAAGAAACCTCTATATATATATCCCCACCATTCAGTTCAGGATGTTCACTGTACAAAAAAACAACAACAACAGTGGGCGCTTCTTTTGTTGGTTTCAGCGCGGCTGGGGTTTTGTTCATCCGACGAGGTGAAACATTTCAACTCCACGTCACTCGTCACCGAGGTTTATGTTGACATCACAATGAAAGCTGCCAAGGTGCCAAAAGCGCTGAATCTGATAGAAGCAGTGACGATACAAAGGTTATTGTTGGGTTCATGAAGTAACTAACCCCACATGATGAAACCAGGTTAATACTGTAGTTGGTAAATGATTCGAATCGACTAGGACTAGGACTGGGAAAAATGAAGGTGGTCACTTGACTGACCCTCCCACATTACCCAAGAACTGAGCGCGACAGCTCGCAGATCGAATCGAAAGTATCATCCCCATTGTTGTGCCTTGCTCAACATCTCCATTTGTTGCTGATATCTACGGAATTTATCATGATTCCCCATCATTTGTTCATGATTTTCTCCATTTCATCATGCCCTTGTTGGTCACATGACAGTTGAAAGAGATTTGGAACAATTCTTTCCTCCAAAAGTCAAGTCCCTGAAAGTCCAAGCTAAGATGGTGTCTTATAAACAAATACATGATAGAACATGATAGAACTTCAACTTGTTCTTCCAACTTGGTCTGGATATTCATGATTTCTTACAGACAATATATTCACAAAACTGTTGAACCAATATAAAATATTTTTACAATATGTGATATTCGTAAATGTTCATGACAGTCAAATTTTCCAAAACGGTTCTGCGCAGGAGAACGATGCCATGACGGCCGAGCAACATGCACGTGAGTCTATTCGGATTGCCCGTACCACTCGTTGCTGGGCGAAGGGAAGGTTTCGTTTTAGAACGCGGGATAATACTCAATTTGAAACGCGACTTTATTACTCATTTTGAAACGCGACACACTCTGTGCCATGGTTTCCATGATATCTGTGTGGTTTCCACGGTTTCCATGGTTTCCATACTTTCTTTGCGGTTTCCATGGTTTTTGTGGTTTCCATGATCTCTTTGCGGTTTCCATGGTTTCCATGATTTCTTTGCGGTTTCCATGGTTTCCATGGTTTCCATGATTTGTCTGCGGTTTCCATGGTTTTCATGATTTCTTCTTGCGGTTTCCATAGTTTCCATGGTTTCCATGATGTCTGTGCGGTTTCCATGGTTTCCATGATTTCTTGGCGGTTTCCATGGTTTTCCATGGTTTCCATGATTTGTCTGCGGTTTCCATGGTTTCCATGATCTCTTTGCGGTTTCCATGGTTTCCATGGTTTCCATGGTTTCCATGATTTGTCTGCGGTTTCCATGGTTTCCATGGTTTCCATGATTTGTCTGCGGTTTCCATGGTTTCCATGGTTTCCATGATTTGTCTGCGGTTTCCATGGTTTCCATGATTTGTCTGCGGTTTCCATGGTTTCCCTGTTGTCCAAGATTTCTGTACGGTTTTCATAGTTTGCACGGTTTCCATGGTTTCTGTGTTTCCTGAAGCCTCCCAATGCCAACAAGTGAACCGTCCTGGAACCCTGAACAGCAACTGAGATCCCGACCCCAACCGGAAAAAAGAAATGTTTCAACCCAAAAAACAAAACCAAGTTTCCCCAAAACTCCAAGCAGCCACCTCGCTGCTAGCTGACGCACCTTTGTGCCGCTTGACATCTAAAAGGCTTCGGTCCGGCCCAGATGCAGGTTCTTTAGGATTCCTAGACAACACCCGGTGAGTTGAAGTCTGGACAACACCCGGTGGGTTGAAGTCAAAGCAAAAGTGGAAGTATTTCCATTTGAGAATTTGGTAAATAGGGATGCATGGAATTCTTACACGCACTCCCCCTATGTGATCAGTTCCACTGACCACATATTCAGCCCAAGCCCTCTAAACAAGTCATAACAAGTCTATCATCTGCAGTGCAGCAAATCGCACATGGATTGAAGGCCCGAAGTGGACCATTGGATCCCGCATCACGACAATGCTGATAATCAACATGAAGTGCATATCCATGTGAGATCGCATACAGCCTATGTTGGGGAACGTCTGACTGTGGGCCACATCTGTGACATCGTGGCGTCAGACAAACTTCCTTGGCATGTCTAAGACCATGACATTCACGGTCACAGTGGTATCTTCCACCAAATGGCGTGGTGAAAAGGGGTTTTGGTCCTCTTTGGGAACGATCGGGAGAAGCATCAAAAAAAATAAAAATGCATCAAGCAAAAATAAAGATGCATCAAAAAAAACTATAAATGCATCAAAAAAAATAAATGACCATGAAGAAAGGGGGGAAGGAGGAAAGGAGGGAAGGAGGAAACGAGGGAAGGAAGGAAGGAGGGAAGGAGGGAAGGAAGGAAGGAAGGAGGGAAGGAGGAAAGGAGGGAAGGAGGAAAGGAGGAAAGGAGGGAAGTTGGAAAGGAGGGAAGGAGGAAAGGAGGGAAGGAGGAAGGAGGGAAGGAGGGAAGGAGGGAAGGATGCAAGGGGGGAACGAAGGGAAGAAAGGAAGGAAGGAAGGAAAGAAGGAAGGAAGGAAGGACCATGTGTGCAGTCAACACTTATTATCGGTTATTTGCGTTCATTTCATCTTCATTGATCTCCATCGCGACTTGTGCCTATGTACTTCTTTCATGTTCTTTCTTGGTACGCATTGCAGGGGACCCCCCACCCGCTTTTGTTTTTTCATCAGCTTCCCTTGCTACCTACTCTCTTGCCTTTTGCTCATAAGCATCGTTTCTTAGGGTTCATTTTCTCTTTCTTCTTCTTTCAAAACATCCATCGAGACTTGTGCCTATGTGCTTCTTTCTTGATCTTGTCGTTCTTACTTGCAATATATCCATTGAGACTTGTGCCTATGTGCTTCTCTCTTGGTACGCATTGCGGGGGGAGGCGCTGCGCCCTCCCCCCTGCACCCCCCACCCGGTTTTATTTTTAAACCGGTTCCCCTTGCTATACCTACTATTCCTTTCTTTTTGCATAAGCATCATCGTTTATTTGGGTTAATTTCATCTTTGCTGATATCCATCGAGACTTGTGCCTATGTGCTTCTTTCTATGATATTTTTTTTTGATACGGATATTTTTTTTGATCTAGGTTTGCAGCACGAAACCCGTGAGGTCTCACACAGTGGCACCTGGATATTTTTTTTGATGCATATATTTTTTTTTGATGCGTGCTGGATATTTTTTTTGATGCATTTTTATTTTTTTTGATACGTGTCTCGAACGAGATCCTCATGAATTGCCGGACAAAGCTGCCACAAATAGATGGCTGACGGGAAAAGACTCAAGCCTTTTGCGGTCACATTGCATTTATGATAGGGATGAATCTCCTTGTAAGAGCTAACTTGTTTTTTTGATTGTTTTTGTTTGAAGAGCTGATTTGCTAGGGTTTCATCAATGTGCTGTGGTGTTACAAGCGCCATGGTGGTTACAAAGAAATGCTATGCCTTCCAGATGTCTTAAACAGCAGTATCTTTGATGTGTCTCAAAATGATCCTTATCCGGGGCTTTTGTGTTTCGAAATGATCCTTATCCTCTGTGTTTCAAAATGAGCCTTATCCGGTGTTTCAAAATGATCCGGGTCCCCTGGGCGAAGGGCGAAGCTGGAGGGATGCTGGGGACCCAGAATGGGACAAAAAACATCGGTTGAATATGCAATGTGATAGTTTATATGATAGTTTATGTGATTGTTTCTGTGATGGCTTATATGATAGTTTATGTGATAGTACATATGATAGTTTGTGTGATGGTATATACTATGATAGCTTATCATTATGTATAGTATATATATATGTTGTTAGTATATTAATATTGTATTATGATAGCTTATGTGATATTATCTATATATATATATGTGTGTACATATATATATATATGTATGTATAATATATTTTGGTGATTTCACCAACTTTGAAGCCACCAGAACATGGCCCGCAGTCGCCAGCTGGAACCAGCTGGTGAGGATCCTTGCCAACGAGTCGAAATGATTCAGCATATGTGGATGTCATATCTCTATATACGTTGTTATATGTATGTATATATATACATATATATATACATGTTCTACTACATGTTATAATAGATATACAATATGTGTGATATAATTTGATACGTGCATATGCAACTGGCTAGCCTAAGTACCTTTTCTGGGCGATGGCAGAACCCAACCCATGCGCCGAGTTCCATCAAGCTCTCAGCCAGTTGGTGTTTCGGTTGTCCATGAGAATACTGTTGAAAGTCACTGTCACACTGGTGTATCACTACGATTTAATAAACGATAACATATGTTGAATTGGATTGGTGTATGTTTTGCATCATTTTACATGATACTATGTTGAATTTATGGTAGAGTTCACATCATTTAGCTACATGATGTCGAATTTGTGGCACATGTTGTTACATTCGTGGTACCCATAGGATCCATGTATGCTATATATGGTAACATTTACCATCAATATACCCCCAATGTTAGCATATATACCAGCACCATGGATCCTATGGGGTACATGTTTGGTGTTGAAATGCAGCTAGATATTTCCAGCCATGTAGCAACGACGTTCTGAGGCGAGCTGTTGAAAAAGTTTGCTGCAGCATATCGCCTGTACCAAGACATGGACAACATCGAAACTCCAACGTGGGACGTGGGTAGGTCTGAACATCTTGGGGAAAACATCACCATGATATTCCCATAGATTTCCCTTAATATCTCATAATATTCCCATAGATTTCTGGTTGAAAGGTTGATGTTTCATTTGTATACTCGTAGGTGCCATGTTTATGGCTACAGCCCGGTGTCAAACCCAGTTGGGCGGGATGTCAAACAGCTAGTGGTTTCAGTGGTTTCCTGTAGGTGTCACTTTTCCAGAGTTCAAATGGTCACAGTTTGTGGGTAGATCGCCTTCTGGAAAACATCTCGGGGTTACTGCATCAGAAATTTTAGCTGTGACAGCAAACTGTGACACCAGACAACTGGATACAACTGGATGATAGTTGATGTTCAAGGATTCACTCCGGCTGGCTCAAAGTCATCTACAAATGGCGGCTTCTTCATCACGCAAGGGTTCGATTGCTGGAGGGTGCAACAAAAAGAGGCCACGCAAGGAGACAACATGCGGCATCAATATGGTAAGCCCATGACTTATAATCCCACCTTCAGATGGGTGCTATCCACTTGCAGATGTGCAGCCCATAATGTTAGCCTCCAGTAATCAAGCCTGGTTTGTTGGAGCCCCCCATGATATCCATTCAATTCCATTATGGCCTCGACAAAGACTTACACGTCATCCATGGACTACACATGACCAAGAACTATAGTGAAACGACAACACACGACACGTTTTTGTGTGTTTTTGTACAATTTTTTGTATTTAATTACTGGTATATGAGATGATTGTACAATTATAGATACAGTAGCGTCCAATTTGATTTCTCTATATTTTCCCATACCAGAAATGCTTCCTTTCTACACTGGGGCCGGGTATTCGGATTCCATCTCCAACGAGGACAAAATGCCGCAATTGGACTTCAACAATGGCGCAGCTCCCTTCACGGACAACGACATTCATGCTAAAATCGTGTCCCGGCAGCCCAAAGAGAAGACACTTGATGGATACCTTTCTGGTTATATGATGTGATACTAGTCATGGATGGTGAAATGCCTTAGTTGTGTAAACGACATGTAAAAACTTGAATTGTTCCATTTGGAACTGGCTAATCACAGCATTCTTAGCTCATACAAGCCACTTGCTCGGACTCGAAAAATGGGTGCTGAAAGTTCCAAATCGTGAAGCAACGGGCTGCAAAATCAGGCAATCACGAAAGAGCTTTTCCTGCTGGTGATTCAGGATGGCTCTGGGGGTTGTCGTTTGGGATGACCCACAGAAGTCATGTTCTAAAAAACTCTGGGTACTTGAGGATCACCCCATTCAGCAGTGGAGCGGTTAGTAGCCCTGGTTAGTAAGTCCCCTTAAGAGGCTTATCCGATCAATAAATGGCTTATTAACCCTCCTAAGTTAAATGCTAAATGAGTTATTAAATGTTATGAAAATTGGTCAAAAGTGAACATTTGCCATGGCCAGGACCGATGTGTGCAACGACTCATGGACGAATTAGACTTGCCTCCGGACCGCGCCAACCTTTTTGAGGCTGGGCTGGCCATGACTACACGGTGGGACCGTGTGGACCCGATGACCCTTCACGGTTTTTCAAAACCGCTGGGATTTATGGCGGGGTCATTCCCTACAATATGCCGTACAATTATATTTCATTATAGCCATCAGACCGCATCATATCTTAGTAAAAGCTATGAATGGTGCAGAAATTTCGAAAGTTGGCTGTGATCCAATCGACCAAAGACCACGAGCCTGTTCCAAGTTGAAAGCCCCTGACCTGCTAAGGGCTCAGCAGCGAATGGTAAAACATGACCAAATTCACCAGGACTTTGTTCAAGTTCACCTGTTTGAACACGATCAAAGATCTTCATCTTGCTCTGACTTCAGGGTTTTTCCCCACCTGCCAGGTGAGGGTTGTTAGATTTTATGTCAGTTGCCTGCTCCTCTCCTCCTCTCCTCTCCTCCTCCTCCTGCTCAACCACGACCCTCGACGCACAGTGTTCTCTGTCGGACCTCAACCACGACCATCCACGCCCAGTGTTCCCTGCCGGACCTCAACCACGACCATCCCCGCCCAGTGTTCCCTGCCGGACCTCAACCACGACCATCCACGCCCAGTGTTCCCTGCCGGACCTCAACCGCGAGTATCCCCGCCAAGTGTTCCCTGCCGGACCTCATGTAGGAAGATATGGGACAAAGAATGTGCAGAAGAAAGTTAGAAAGAATGTCAGACAAGTATGTTATATATTACTTGCAAATTCGCGTGTATGTGGTAGAGTGACCGGGGCAATGCCACTTCTTACTTTGCAGGTGGCAAAGTTTGAAGCAATCAATTTGAACAGATAACAGAGTCACTGGGGTGGACAGAGACATTTCCTTTTCTGTACCTTTGGAGCTGTTTGCAAAGACGCTTGAGACAGGCAACATCTTACAGCAAGTTACTACAAATTACTTGAAATGATTTCATGCTGGATTGATGCTTGAGACAGTCAACATCACACAGGGTTTCTGTTGTATATCACAGTTATGGTGGCATGATGGATATGTGACATCGGAACATTTGTTGGAGCATTTGAGCCCTCATCTACTCGATCGCGGGCCAGAGGCAGGATGGACATCATCATAGAAGAATTCAGCAGGAGGAGGTTGTGTGATCAGTAGTGTCTTCTTGCGTGTTTTTGTTTGCTTGGCAGGTGATGGCAGAGGGTGACCAATCTGCGAGTGCTGCGCAGGCGAGGAGTTTGAGTGGAAGTAAGCACATTGGCCAGTGGCTGCTTTCAAAAGTGTTGGATAAATGATTTGGAAAGCAGCTTGTGCTTTGACATCCTGCGCAACAGCCGACGCGAGCTCAAGCACAAGCAGAAACGTGAATAAGATAATAGTGCTCAAAGGATAGGGACATGAAACGCTTGAGAATATAAATGTAGTAGGTGTATCTCTTCGAAATGTTTCATTGAGAAAGATTGGAGAGGTTACATACTATATAGATATTTAGGTGTAGCTTGACACTGCAAGACGGACACTGTTTTTTTGCACTTGGGAAGTTTGAACACATTGGGACTGAACTGGTTTTGACCGGGAAGGTCTGGTGTTTCAAGAGCCATGGCAAAAAGATCATGGCCATTTGGTGTCACGAGTTGGGATGACACTGTGAAATTTGCGCAACTTTTGTTTGGTGTAGACGTTGCCTTTGAGAACTATGCAGAGAGATTGCCGCATAGATCGAACAAATCCTTCTTGCTATTCGCCAAAGGCGCTTGTGCTGAGGGAAGGACCTTCTTCGAGATTGGAGATTTCATTGCGCCACAGCTGGAAGAGATTCAACAGTGGGAAGAAAATGTTCGCAACAACAATGCTCGTCCAACGAAATCCCAGCAGATGCTGAAAGCTAACGGATGGACTATGTACTACTGGAGTGCGCAGGTGACGCGTGCTCCGTGTCTGTGTCGCTCCATCTTTGGAGCTGACGCTCACCAGAAACACGTGCCAACTTCATCGGCCATGTGGAAAGCTGGAAGCAGATTTGAGAAATTATGGGACGCCACATTGATGAAGAACTATGAAGCTTTTCAGAATCGAGACCTGCGTCCCACTTGGCTTGACAAGTCGTGGCAGGTGTTGTGGAACTGGAATGATCACAACAAAAATCATGGAATCAGCCCTCATTCAGATGAGTCTGCCACCTACAGCAATGTTGATCCGATCACGTCCTTTTCCTTTGGGCATGGGGGTGTTGACCTTGGGCCCCAAAAAAGGTCCAGTGACAAGGATGTTGTTCCAAGAAGGCGGTGACGCTTTGGTGATGGCAGGAGACTTCCAAGCAGAGTTTTGCCATGGTGTGCCGGCGCGCTCCACTTGGAAAGATTTGAAGTTGCTTCCTATGTTCACTACAATGCAAGAGTGGGAGAAAGTTGGGCTGCAGCAGGAAATTGCTTTGCATGAAGGTGCTGCGCCAGAAGCCAAGCATGTCCGTATGAATTGCACGCTCCGCTGGCACAGCACACATTGGGCTGGATGTCCGGTGCGGGGGCAGGAAGGTCATGGGACTCAACCGGTTTCGACTGGAGCTGTCCAGACGTCTTCAAGCCCTTTGGCACCTGGCGAAGGCCCTTGGTTTGAGGAAGAGTCGCCAAGTGTGTCTGCTGGAGCTGCAGCAAGTACTGTGAGTGTTTCTGCTGGAGCTGCGGCAAGTACCCAAGGGAGTCAACCGGTTGTGACCGGGGCTGTCCGGGTGCCTGCTGCAAGCGTGGTGGATCCAAAGCAGTCGCTTCTTTTCACTGGCATTAAGAAGCGAGGTGTGGAAGAAGAGCCAACGCCCTCTGTCAGCACAGTGAAAACATCTCGTTCGGGTGAAGAGTTGCTGCTGGAGCGCTCGGATGAGACAATTAAGAGTCTACTGGATTGTATTGAAGCATGTGTGCGACAGAATGATCTTTTTACGTTGGCCATTACCGGCACTCCATTGGTCGCAGCCACACAGGTGCATGCTGAGATGTTGGCGAAGATTGATGAAAATGTGAAAAATTTGAGGGCCCGGCTTCTGGCGGCATCAGAAGCCGTTGAAGCATTTTCGCGTTGTCGAGTTGACCGAGTTCAGTTCAAGTCGCTGAACCTGATGGAGCTGGCAGCGCAGCAGCGCAGAATGATCCACAGGGACCTTGGCAATTTCTACACTGTTGAAAAGTCGTCTTGGCTGATAGAAACAAGAATCAAAACACAACAAAATTGTTTGAACAAAGATCCGCAGTATCGCAAGTGTTTGCTTTCGCATCGTCAACTGGAGTTACTTCTGGAAATTTTGAGCGAAACAATGATGAAGGAGCATGAGGAGATTGCCTTTGACTTACGCAGCTTACAGCGTGGAGTTCTTCCACCGAAGTTGACCTGCGCAAAGAGGCACCAACAGGCGAAGCAACATCAAAATCAAGATTTGGGGTTGGATGTGTATGAGTTTGCTTCTGATTCAGTGCTCTTGGTGAAAGCTTTGGAGGTTGGTTACTTATTGGACATTGACAAGGCCACACGCCTTCAGACTGTAACAGGTGCGTGGCAGAAGTTGCTGTCAGTCATGTCAGTTGGTGAGATCGTGCATAGCCTGAAACAAGGGCTCTCGACACTGCTGCAGCATTTGCGCACGATAGATGTTGACAGACACTTTTGTGATCGGACCTCTGGGGAATTAGCGAGCGAAAATTATGACATTTGGGTTTGGATGACGAAGGTCGCGCCTTGAGCTGGTACAGCCTTTGGGCTTCAAATGTGAACCTGTGGCTCAGGAGGAAATGTTTACAGCTGTGTCTTTTGCAGCTGCAGCCAGTACCCAAGGGACTCAACATGTGTTTTCGATATGTCGTCTGGGTGCATGCTGCCAGTGCGAAGATCCAACCAGATTGCTGATGTGCGTGAAAAACAAACGCTTCAACGCCAAAGGAGCCATGGCAAAGAGATCATGGCCATTTGGTGTCACGAGTTGGGATGACACAGTGAATTTGCCTAGGTGAATCGGATATGTTTCGAGGAATGGACACTAAGAAGTCATGTGGAATTTGGTTTGGCTGAAACATACTTTGTTTGAAACAAAGAATTTGGTTTGCAAGTTCTTTGTCGATTCAACTTCACAAGATATGGGTATGCTGAATACAGTTTGATTGGCGGGTTGTTCACAAATGATTGCGTCTGTCGCTTTGCCAGGTACATGACAAAAGACATAGACAAGGCTGACACATCAGCTGACCAAAGGCATTCCAGAAAAAATAAAGCCATAGACAAGCAGCTGACACATCAGCTGCTCACTGTTCCAAACCCGCATCGCACTGGCAAATTGCAAGGCATGCTACTGGTGCACGAGAACATGGTTGTGCGACTGGCGGATGTCTTGGCTCCACACCTTGGATTGGTTAAAGACAAACTGGCAGTGGTAGTGAAAGTGGATTTGCACCATGAAGATCAGAAGCGCCTGGACCGTCGTGAACCTGGATTCTGTCATTTTTTTCCGGACTACATGGCCAAAGGTATATGGGTGAAATTACTTAAAGGAAAGAATTCGCCCATGGAAGATGCTCTGTTGCAGACGTGGGAAGAAAAGTTTCAGAATGTGGCCGATCACACAACTGACGCAAAGACATTGTTCTTTGTGGAATTGGTGCACGCAGAGTTCAAAATTGATTTGAAGCTAGGCGAGGAAACCGAGAAAATTGAAGTGATTCGCTGGCAGTTTCCTCTTTTGCATGGCATGCTGCGCGCTACTTACGCGCGCAAGGCTTGACTTTGGACGGAGGTGTGCTGGTTAATTTGCGTCGTGGTGGTGGCCTAGAGGATGCCGACTGGTGGCTAGCCATCTATGTCATGCTGACGCGTGCCCGCAAACTGAAGAATCTCATCTTGCTGGGGTTCACGGAGCAAGTGGAGGAGCTTTTACGCAGAGGCCCTCCTACCTACTTGCGAGAACTGACTGACAAGTTGGAAACCAAAGCTGCTTCGACGCTGGAGCAGCTGCAGTCCTGGCCTGTCTATGATGCATTGCAAGCATCCTGACACAGTGCTCTGCCAGTGGGACCTAATCGGTTTTGACTGAAGAGGTCCGGGGGAGGCATAGGCCTGACACGTTGCTCTACCTGTGGGACCTAATCGGTTTTGATTGAAGAGGTCTGGTGGAGGAATAGAGAGTTGCAGCTGCAGCGATCTGGTGAAGTAACGCTGGCATGGTTTTGTCTAGTTTACACACGAGCCTGCGAGCTTTTGACTTTGGTTCAGGTGGTCCACTGGCTTGTTTCAGTCATGTTTTTACAAACATGTTTGACAGGCGGTGTGCTGACATGTTTGGGCATGTTTGTTTGTTTGGCTCAGGTGGTCCACTGGCCTGTTTGGTCATGTTTAAGCAAACCTGTTGAGAGCTCTGGAGTTTACTTCATATGGCCCACTGACATGTTTATATCCTGTTTGACAGACTGACATGCACAATGACCTGCCAGGTGAAACAAATGATTGGGATAGTTAGTTGGGCAAAAGTCCCGTGACAAAAGCTTCAGATAAAAGTGGTATCAACAAGCTCTTTTGAAATGTCATGGTGGGGATCACTCGAAGCAAAATAATTTTTTAAATAATATATTATTATAATATTATATTTCCCCCCCGTGATTTAGGACTAGTAAAAGATACCCTGGGGTGGCCAAGTCCTATGTCATCATGCGTCGGACCTCCCCTGGACAAGTCCTAGGTCATCAGGTGTCTGTATAAGATTAGGAATTATGTTTGTTTGTTTTTTTAGTGCGGTATGGAATATTTATAACACCATAATAATATAGGATTTAATTAGCAAAAATATATTAAGATAATCCTAAATTATCATGCTCTCTGATTTTTTTTTCCTTCGATTTATACATAGACATTATTTTAAAACAATTTAATAAATTAAAAAAATATATGCAATTTTTTACTAGAATTATTTTCCCGTTTTGTTTCCCTAGTATATTTCCCGTTATATTATCC